TCTTCAGACCCTAAAAACTCTACCCAGGAACTCCTACAGCTGATAAACACTTTCAGTAATGTGACAGGATACAAGATTAACTCAAAAACATCAGTAGCCCTCCTATATACAAATGGTAAACAGGCTGAGGAAGAAATCAGAGAAACATCACCCTTTACAATAGCCACAAATATAAAATACCTTGGGGTAACACTAACCAAACAAGTGAAAGACCTATATGACAAGAACTTTAAGTCCCTAAAGAAATAAATTGAAGAGGGTATCAGAAAATGGAAAGATCTGTCATGCTCTTGGATAAGTAGGATCAACATAATAAAAATGGCAATCCTACCAAAAGCAATCTTCAGGTTCAATGCAATCCCCATCAAAATCCCAACACAATTAATTCTTCACAGACCTTGAAAGAACAATACTCAAGTTCATATGGAAAACCAAAAAACCCAGAATAGTGAAAAAAATCCTGTATAATAAAGGAATTTCTGAAGGCATCACCATACCTGATCTCAAACTCTACCATAGAGCTATCATAATAAAACAGCTTTGCATTGGCATGAAAACAGAGAGGTGCATCAATGGAATTGAATCAAAGACCCTGATGTCAATCCACACACCTATGAACACCTGATTTTTGACAAAGAAGCCAAAATGATATAAAGAAAAAAGGAAAACCTCTCTAACAAATGGTGCTGGCATAACTGGATGCAAACATGCAGAAGATTGCAAATAGATCCATATTTATTACCATGAACCAAACTCAAATACAAGTAGATCAAGGACATCAACATAAATCCTGCTGCATTGAATCTCATTGAAGAAAAGTGGGAAGTAGCCTGGAATGCATTTGCACAGGAGATCATTTCCTAAATATAACACCAGTAGCATAGACACTGAGAGCAACAATCAATAAATGCAACCTCCTGAAACTGAAAAGCTTCTATATGACTTGTCAATAAGACAAAACAACAACCTACAGAATGGGAAAAGACTTTTACTAATCCCATATCTGACAGAGGATTGATCTCCAAAATTTATAAAGAAATCAAGAAACTAGACATAAAAATACAAAATAATCCAATTGAAACATGGATTACAGATCAAAACAGAAAATTCTCACCTGAAGAATCACAAATGGCCCAAAGACATTTAAAGAAGTTCTCAACATCCTTAATCATCAGAAAAAATGCAAATCAAAATGACTCTGAGACACTAACTTACATCTGTCAGAATGACTAAGATAAAAAACACTGAGAACAGTTTATGTTGCACAGGATGTGGAGTCAGGAGTCAGGGAAACACTCCTCGCTTCTGTGGGAGTGCAAACTTGTGCAGCCATTTTGGAAATCAGTATGGTGGTTTCTAAGAAAATTGGGAATCAATCTACCTCAAGACTCAGTGATACCACTCTTGGGCATTTACCCAAAGACACTCAATCATACGACAAGGACATTTGCTCCACAATATTAATAGCAGTATTATTTGTAATAGCCAGAACCTGGAAACAACCTAGGTGCCCCTTAACCAAAGAATGGATAGGAAAATGTGGTACATTTATACAATGGAGTACTACTCAGGGGTAAAAAATGATGACCTCATGAAATTTGCAGAAAAATGGACACAACTAACAAAACAAAACAAAACAAAACAAAACAAAACAAAAAAACAAAACAAAAACCTATCCTGAGTGAGGTAACCCAGTCTCAGAAAGATAAACATGGTATTTATTCACTCATAAGTGGATATTAGCTATAAACCAAAGGATAACCAGACTACAATCCACAGCTTAAAAGAAGCCAAGTAACAAGGAGTACCATAAGAGGGACACATGGAACATCCTGGGAAGGGAAATTAGATGAGATCTACAGGGCAAACTGGGGGTAGGGGATGGTAAGATGGAGAGGATAGGGATGAGAAGAAGAGGGAAAGAGGGATGCAGAGGAAGACCAATGAAAGTGGTGTCTTAATAGAGAGAGCAACTATGGGTTGCTCTCTCTATTACCAGAAACCTGGTACTAGGATAACTCCCCAGAATCCACAAGGAGGACCCCAACTAAGACTCCTAGCAATAGTAGAGAGGATACCTGAATTTGCCTAACCCTATAATCAGATTGATGAATACCCCAACTGTCATCATAGAGTCTTCATCCAGTAATTGATGGAACCAGATGCAGAGATCTACAACCAAGCCAGGGCCAAACTCCAGGAATACAGTCAAAGATAGGAAGGAGAGAACACATGAGCAAGGGAGGTCAAGATATGATAGAGAAATCCACAGAGACACTAAACCAAACTCCTGGAAACTCATGATCTCTAGCCCTACAGTTGTGGGGACTCCAGGAGACTGAACTAGGCCTTTATATGGGGGTGACAGTTGTGAAGCTTGAACTAGCTCAAGGGCCCCTGGCAGTAGGACCACAATATAAACCTGGTACATGAGTTAGCTTGTTGAAGCTCATTCTTTAGGGTGGGATGCCATACTCTGTGGCAGTTGGACCATGTTATTATTCTAGTACATGAGCTAACTTGTTGGAGCCCACTCCCCATGGTGGGAAGTCATGCGCAGTCTTAATGCATGGGAGACAGGCCTGGCTTTGTCCCAACCTATTGTGTCAGACTATCTTGACTCCTCATGGGAGCTCTTACCCATGAGGAGGAGTGGTCTGGGGATGGACTAGAGGGAAATTGAGGGGGATGAGAGGAGGGCTTGGAGGAGGGGTGGGAGGGAGAACTGTGGTTGTAATGTAAAATGAAATTTAAAAAATGGGAAAAAAGACTATGGTAATTAATTCAAAATCCTTTCTTCTATAGTTTTGGAATACACAGCACATGCTGACATCTTTAGTCACCGTGCAGTGCAGTGGCACACCAGGTCTCCTTACTCTTAGTCCTCACACCCATACTTCTGTCTTCCTCATCTTCTCATCCTTCTGCTCTCCCAGGAGTCTGGTAATTACAATTCTGTTTTCAGCTTCAATGAGATTACCATGCTATTCTTCCCTGGAAGAGATCATGTAGTATTGTTTTTCTGTGACTGGCTTATTTCATTTAACATAACATCTGTGTTCTGTGCTGCTTCTAGAAACCATTGTGGAAATGCATGATCTGTGCTGCTGCCAGATGTTATAGGTAAGGAAGCTTCTTTTTCAGTGGTGGCTATGACTGATCACTATAGAGAATGAGAGACATTGAAGCATTCTGTGACAACCTCTTCCTTCCCCAAAGAAAAGTTCAGACAGGAAGCTATCGTAGGGAGTCCTTAAATTGGATGAAGTTGCTAAAGGGTAGCTCTTCACTGATGATGGCTTCTTGCGGGGGGGAAAAACTAAGTTATCTTTAAGGGCCTGGCCACTGAGAGTTTGACCATGCTTCAGTGAGTATTTGAACAACAGGAATTGGACTTGGTTATATATTTTTTTTGAGGGAGAAGACACAAGGGTGGGAGTGTCTTGTCAGTGAACTCATAATGGATCCCAAGAGGGAGTGTTTCCCTGTACTTCCTACCGGATCCTCTGACCCACCAGAAGGAAAATGTCAAGCAAAGCCTTGCCTCAAGTTCCTCTCTTTCTGCTTCCAACTGCCTGAGGCCATGCCCAAGGAGGTGTGGCCACCATTACAAGTTCACTGACAAGATGCCTACAGTGGGAGGGTAGAACTCAAACAAAGAAGAATGAAATTCTGTCATTTATTTTTATTTTATGTTTTTTTGTGTGTGTTATTGCATTGTGGTCAAATAGAATACAAGGAGTAGTTTCAACATTTTTGAATTTGTAAAGATTTTTTTTGTGTGTCTCAGGATGCAGTCAGTTTTAGAACATCTTCCATATGCTGGTGAGTACTTGTGCATTCTTTGGCATTTGGGTAGAGTAGTGTGTAGTATCCATTATGTCCACTGCTGTAGGATTTCAATTAATTCTGATGTTTCTCCTTTGATATTTTGTCCTGGTGAACTGATTACACGAGAAAGTGGGGTATTGAAATCACCACCTATTAATTGATTGATATTAATTTCTGTCTTTATATGTGACCTATGTTTTTTTCTTATGCAGTTTTCATTATACATCCTTTTAAATGTATATTTAGTGTTTTAACTATTACATGTCATAGGGCATTTCTCTTTTGGTCTTGTCTGTTTTGTGTTCTGAGTGTTTCAACATGAATATTTAGATGTTTTATTTCTTATTTCTGTGAAGGATGTTGTGGGGTTTTGATTGGTATTGAACTGAATCTTTAGATCATTTTTAGGAGACTGGTCATTTTTATAACATAATTCTACTAACTCATGAGCATGAGAGGATTTTCCTTTTCTAGTGTCTTTCTCAACTGTTTGTCCAAACATTTAAAGTTTTTCTTGTAGAAGTGTTTAACTTCCTTGTTTAGGTTCATTTTTAGATGTTTTACTATTTGAAGCTATAGTGACAGAACATGTGTGGATGATCTTTCTCAGGGTGTTTGTTGGTGCTGTATAGAGAGGCCCCTGATGGTTTTAAGTAAATTTGTTATCCTACCACATAGATAATTTGAAGAAATTTTTTGGTAGGGTTTTGGGGCTCTCTTATATGTAATACAACATCACCCGATAACAATTTGATTTATTTTTTCTATTTGTATCCCTTTGATATCCATCTCCAATCTTGTTGTTCATGATGGCCACTCTCTGGACAAAGATCTACAGACAATTAAGGGAGAGAAGGACAATAATTCATCCCTGAGTGTAATTCCCATAATTGCCTATCCAATACTAAGTGGTCAGCCTAATTATATAAATACAGGCAACAGCTGATTTAATTTATACAAATATATAATAATAATAGTTAAAGAAAAGAGACTGAATTTGAGAGGGACTGAGGAAAGGGATATAGAAGGGGCTGAAGGTAGGATAGGGGAAGGGGAATAATGAAGTTGGATTTTAATCTTTAAATACATTTTTTAAAAAGAAAGGAAAAACTGTCATAAATTATTTTAAGTGACTTGAAGCTAAGTTCCTTATTTTGTGTTTTTAATGTCTACACTATAGTTGGCACTTGTGAACTAATAACTGACAATGGCTGCTGGAAGGCCTGTGACACAGGATGTGGATGGGGCTCCAGGCCCTGTGGCAGGTTTGAGGACAGGCTGCAGGTGTCTGGGGAGCAGTGTGCACTTGCAGCACAGAAGTACATGGCAGAGTCCCCAGGCTGGGTGTCTGTGATGTGCAGGGAGAAGTGTTTGGCTTTCTTATCCTGTAAAACTATCAGTCTTTGGTCCTGCTTTCTTTCCATGGTTGATCGAATGTCAATAATGAGTTTAGGATGCTCTCCAGCTCCTTGCTTATACCAAGGGAAGTAGTCTGATGCACTGTCTGTGTAAGTGCAGTTGATGACAGCGCTGTCTCCCTCCTGGACACTCAGGGTGGAAGGAAGCTGCTCCACCTGCTCTCCTTGGCTCAGCCCTATGCAGAGAGATGGAAAGAAAGGGAAAGTTCATCAGATCATCACTTTCCAGGATTCTCTTTTTCTAGAGTCACTAGAGAAAACCTGAATAAAATCGAGTTATTCCTGGATGTCTCAGAAAGGCCCGCTGAAAATTCTGTAATACTAAAATCTTAACTCACCATCCAGCTGCAGCCACAGGAACAAAAATAAAGTGGGAACATATATCTTCATTGTTCTTCAAATTAAGTTAAGATCCAGTGTAGATCGTGATGACTATCAGGTCAGCTACAGCTACCAGGTTGGAGTACTTTCTCAGTAACAATTCTATCTCTAGCGTCATCCACTCAGCCCCTGAGAAAAGGTTGTGTCTGCCTGAGCCTGCACAGTCAGAATACAAGGAAGAGAATCCTCTGCATACTCCCCAGCAGCTGAGGTCTACTGCCACCGTGTGGTTGCATCCTTAACTGGTGACAACTCTCTGTTCTCTGACCTGTGAGGGACTCAGACACATAAAACAGTAATATTTTATATTATTTTATATCATCTTGGTCCTAGTGCTGAGAAGTACAGCAAGGTATTTGTACACACTAACAAGGCTGTTTCTTATCTTTAAATCAAACATAGCATATATAATGTCTTATGTATAAACATACATACATGTTTTCTTATGTATATATGAAGTGCGTGTGCGTGTGTGTGTGTGTGTGTGTGTGTGTGTGTGTGTGTGTGTGTGTAACATTTGTTCTGTCTAGAATCCTCTTTGTTAACCCACTCCTATATCCCACAATGCTAAGATCTTCCACGAAGCAACTCCCCCTTTTCATGGAGACAAATACTTAAGTCAATATTTGTCCTTGAGAGTTATGGAACCAAGAAAAAGATTATAAATTCTTTCATGATTTTTTAGTTGCTAAATAACAATTTTTTCCTATTTCAGGGAGTTCTTATTGACAACTCAGATGTGATGTTTTTGTGCTTGCATCTCACCTTCCAGGGAAGTCGGCCCAGAATTACAAATACACATAGCTACTTTCAGGAAAGTTCTCAGGCATCATTTGGTATATAGGATGGCAACATCCATTTGGTTTACTCTAACAGCATCCAGTGATTGGTAGGCTGGATTACTTATAAAATAACTTTGGTGAATTCTCTGGAGAATCCGTGAAATCTTGCAATAAATTCAGCTTTCCTCCTTCCTATGAATCCTCCCAGAACCCCACCCCCACCCCCATTTCTGGCCATTTTCTTTCCCTTGTGTAAACTGGGAATACCTACACACACTGTCTATCCGGCAGCCAAGTGTGCACACAAGCTTGGGAAGAAGACAGGCCAGATTCACTGTCCCTCCTCTCCTCTATTTCAGTACCCTGGTACCACCCCTAGCCCTCTGACAGACCACTTGCCTGTCCTCTCACTCTTCCTACATTCGCTAGGAACTTAGTCAAATCTTGCTGCATTTCCTTTCCTCACTCACACACATCACATTGTTTTGTGTCAAAAGCCAACAGAGACACTGCACATGGGAGCCTGGAGGCTACACCTGCCTGGGAAGCTGGAGTACATCTTCACTTTCCTTGCTGCCTACATGGTAATTTTCCCATTTTCATTCCAACCCTGTAGCAGACCATTTGTAAGGGCCTGTTGTTCCTTTCTGCTTCTATTCCCTAGGGTCTCCACTAAACCTAGCAGAGGACTCAGCTTCCCTTCATCCTATGGACCATCTCAGCATCCTCTCTAGTCTATGCCCTTTCCTTCATGTCACCCTCCCATACATAAAAACACTTGCTACCCTGGTGACCTTGTTGCAGACACTGGTGTAGGTTATTCACACTGTCCTCCCTGTCCTCCATTACACTCTCTCCATTCTCATGCTCAGTCTGGGAACAGTCTGCTTACAGGTCTCTTCCTTAACTTCATTCACTGGACATTGCAACTGTTGGTTCAGACCCAGGACCCTTAGCCGTTCCATCCCCATCTCTCCACATAATTTTTTTGCCTTACTGCAACATACTTCAAGATTCTCTCTTCACACCATAACCACACCTTCTTGTGGATCTCACCTCTAGGTCTGAACAGGATCTCCTTAGCATGTTCCTGAAGCCTCTCTCAGCCTTTATTCCTCACCTGCATCTATTAATTTCTACCACACATTGACCCAGAGAAGCATTGCCTACCAGGCAATAACAATCATACTTAACTAAGATCCAGAGAGTTCAACAGAAACCAAGAAAGAAAACACAAACTAAACAAAGGCCATACCAGAAATCAAAACACAGAAATACAATCATCCCAACATCTGACATCTACACAAAAACACAATCTTTAATAGCCAAGACAGTATGTCTCCCAGTAACACACTAAATTGACCGTGGAAATGCAACAGAGCTGAACTACAAGACAAGGACATCAAAATAGATGTTATGAATTAGCCCAAGGAAAATAAAGAGGATGTAACTAAATCCCTTAATGAAATTATTGAAAACACAAACAGTGGAATAAAATGAAGAAAACAGTTCAAGCCTTGCTGGTAGAAATAGAATCACTAAACAAAACACAAAGTGGAGTGAGATAAAACTGGAAACGAAAGTCAAACCAAAATCAGTAAAACAACTGACAACAAAGGCTGGGGTAGGTAATAAGGGGAAAGGAACCTGCATTTGCTTTTGGGGGCAATGAAAATTGATGGAGGTATTCTGGAAATCAGTGTGGAGAATCTTCAAAAAACTAAAGATAAATCTACCACTCCACCTACCTATGCCACTTCTTGGTCTGTGTCCAAAGAACTCTACATCCTACTCCACAGATACTTGTTTATTTCATTGATGCTCTCTTCACAGTCACTAGGAAATGGAATTTCCTTATGTTCCATAAGGTGGGATTTCTTTTATTCTAGGGAAACTTAAATGATATCAAGAACCAGTCCATCTGCTCATAAGGCACCACCACATTTCAAGTTCTGTCTTTGATCTCAAAGGAAAGGTGATGACTGCCACATAAATAAGAGAGTGCTGTGTAAAATATGCCATAAAATTAAAAATAACATAAAGTTCAATTTGCTTTATCCATATGCTCACCGGAGCATAGTCAAACTCCCAGTCACCAGCCTCTAAAAGAAAACTGAATCCTTCCCCACCCCATGCCCCCAAGCCCACCAGAAGCCATTGACTATGAAGTGCTACACTTTAGCATCCCTAACACACTTTTAAAGAGTTTTCTTATCACACTTTTAAAGAGTTTTCTTCAGGGCCAGAGAGATGGCTCAGAGGTTGAGAGCACCGGCTGCTCTTCCAGAGGTCCTGAGTTCAATTCCCAGCAACCACATGGTGGCTCACAACTATCCGTTATCCTCTTCTGGTGTGCAGATAAACATGGAAGCAGAATGTTGTATACATAATAAATAAATAAAATCTTTAAAAAAGTGTTTTTTTCAATGGCTGCCTGTCTAGGCTGTAGGGAGGGGGGATGACACAGAAGCCTTCTATGTCTCTCATTCTCAATTGTGAGGCTGTAGTCATCAAAACTATTCCAAAAGAAACTTCCTTGCCCTTTACAGTCAGCAGCAATACCAACCATGGACATCCACATGGCCTGCTGCAGCAGCATGGACCATAGACATCAACATGGCCTCAGGTGTCATCCCAGGGTACAGACATCCATTTGTCTGTGGTAAAACATCAAACTTGTCTCAGGTGGCAGCACACACCACAGACACCAATGTAGCCTCCAGTGGTGGCATGGGACCATGGTCCCAGGACTGCAGGCATCAACATGGCCTCCAGCAGCACCATGGATCACAGATGCCAACATGGCCTCCAGCAGTAGTACAGACCACAGGCATCCACATGGAACATGGGCATCAACGTGACTTGGGGCAGGAGCATGGATCACTGACATGGTTTCTAGGGGCAGCACAGATGATGGAGGTCTTTCAAAAAGTCCCAATACAGAAAGTGAATTTAACTTCCATCTCAGCCTTCCTGCCATTGTTCATACCCAAGGTGAGAATCCAGCTGAGCATGGCCATCCAGGGTCAGAGCCTACTCAAGTTCCATATCTCTTCATAACACCCTGCTGGCCCTACTGGGCAAGGACATGCATGCTTCTCTAACACCTTTGTTTCACTGGCGGTATCACCTCTTTTCACCACACACTTGTTCCCCATCCTTTCCACATTCCCATCATGTATTTGTGTGGTGATATTTTGTTTAAGATCTAACAAATAAAGCTTGCCTGAAGATGAGAATGCAAAGTTAGCCACACTAGTTAGCCATAGAGGCCAGACAGTGGTAGCACACACCTTTAATCCCAGGGGCACAGCCACACTAGTTAGGCATAGAGGCCAGGTAGTAGTGTTACAAAGAGCTTTACATGCACATACTTATAGCTACAAGACACTGGTCTGGCTCAAGGTTTCTAAATCCTAAATCACCATAAAAACTGCACCATCTACAAGTCTCATATCCTGATGTTGTCCAGAGTCATGGTGCTCTTTCAGCTAGGCCGGACATTCTGGGACAGAATCCTTGAGCGACAACAAGCCCAAACCACAAAGGAAAACTTGGTGAATTTGATTCTTTTTTACCATTTTTAAATATAAATTAGAAACAAGATTGTTTCACATGTAAATCCCAGTTCCCTCTCCCTCCCCTCCTCCCTGCCCCCCATTAACACCCTACCTGTCCCATACTCTTTCTGTTCCCCAGGGAGGGTGAGGCCTTACATAGGGGATATTCAGAGTTTTTCATATATGTTGGGACAGGGCCTAGGCCTTCCCCCATGTGTCTAGGCTGGAGAGTATCCCTCTATGTGGAATGAGCTCACAAAGTCCATTCCTATGCTAGGGATAAGTACTGATCTAATACAACAGGCCCCATAGATTTCCGAGGCCCCTTCACTGGCACCCATGTTCCTGGGGTCTGAATCAGTCCTATGATGGTTTCCCAGCTATCAGTCTGGGGACCAAGAGTTCTCCCTTGTTCAGGTCAGCTGTTTCTCTAGGTTTCACCAGCCTTGTCTTTCCCACTTTGCTAATCACTCATCCCTCTCTAAAATTGGATTCCTGTTCAGTTCAGTGTTTAGCTGTGGGTGTCTGGTTCTACGTCCATCATCTGCTAGATGAAGACTCTAGGATGGCAAATAAGTTAGTCATCAATCTCATTATCAAGGGAGAGCATTTAAGTTAGCCTCTCCTCTGTTGCTTAGATGGTTAGATGGCATCATCTTTGTAGATC